TATACGTATAAGAGAATATGAAGAAGACTACAAACTCGGGTTGTGTCTGACATTGCTCCCTATACCCTTAGATAGGGCACTAATAATAATAATAATAATAATAAATTTAATTTATAACGCACTTTACATCAATTCAATGACCTCAAAGTGCTACAATGCAAAACAGAATAAAAACAGAAACATTAAAATTATACTTTTAGCCACAAAAGGCTTTTCTAAAAAGATGGGTTTTCCACTATTTGAGGAAACAGCAATTGCACCGCAATAACAAAACGTACAACCGTTGTACACTCAATGGCTAGAGAATAATACCCATAATGCACTGTGATAGTCACGCGCCGAATGTGTCCGAATTCACTCACTCATTTCATTCACTCCCTAAAAGTGAACTATATTAATGGACTAATGTGGAGAATAGTGAATGAGAGGATAGGGGGCGATTCCAATACAGCCTATGGGTGCACGCTAAGAGGAAAATAGAATTGAGATTTTTCTGATAAAAAGTGGCACATAATTTGAAAAAAAAAAATTGTGATTAAATGTCAATGTATAATAATAGTAATAATAATAAAATAAAATTCTAAAAATTATATATATATATATATATATATATTTATTATTAAATTATCATTTATATTTATAATAAAAATAATAAGATATCATTAATAATATATAATTATTAGAATTTACTAAATAAAAATATTAAACAAAACAAGAACTGTGAAATAAAAAAATCTAATATTTAAGATTTATTTTTCAGATAAAAATTGAGATTGTGATTTAAAATGTGATTTAAAAAAAATAAAAGTTTGTTTGTTTACAAAATAAAAATATTAAACAAAATAAGAAAATAAAAATATTTTAACTTTTTAAATATTAACTTTTTATATGTGAACTGTAAAATTAAAAAATCTAGTATTTAAGAAAAATAATATAATTAAATAATATGTTATTTATATAATAATAATTATAACAATAATCATAATTACAGTGCAACTTGATTTTGATGGAAATCCGCATGTAAATGAGCACAGCCTTTGTGATTTGATCATTTCACTAAGCCCATATGCAGCCTTGGGACATGGCTTAAAAATGAGTTTTGAGGTATTCCTCGCTCTACCTCTGTGTATCCCGTCATCAGTTCAGCCCATTTCTGCCACTGAGGACATTTGTCTCTGTCGGCGAAGGTTGTCTCGTTAGACGTCCAGCAACACTGCTCATGACTGTACCAGAACGCAGACAGACACACTCCTTCCTTCAGATCCGTCATCCAATCCACAGCCAGATCAATCACTCCGGCCAGCGTGCCTGTGTTAGACGAGACACACGTGTAGAATGTTAAGTGTTTTGCCCAGTGATGTCATCATAAGTGGGCGTGTCTCTTCACCTGACAGCAGGCCAATCAGAAGCATCACCAGCCATCCTGACCAGGCGTCCAGCAAACTCTTGATCAACTCCCAGATGGACTCTTTACTCTTACTGGTGATCTGCAAACACACACACAACCTGATGATTCAAATGCACGTTCAGTTACTGGTCCAGGAACAATAACACATTTTTTTTAGTTTGGAGGCTAAAATTCAATATTCAACAGCCTAATTTATGGCATAGTAAGGATGCGGTTAGTGTCTGAAACCAACATTCAAAACCCCTGCTACAAATATTAGTGTGTCACAATACCAGCGTCTGCCAGGGTGTCTTACCTTGCGGTGTCTGTCCGTGTCTCTGGACTTCTCTCTCAGCCAGTCGATGGTGTGGAAGTCCTCATAAGTGCCGACGTCTGGGAACGGCTCGTCCAGGAAGTCCATCAGGTTCCCGGCGCCGTTCATCTCCTCGGTGGGAGTCGCACTGCTGGTGCCTGCGCACAAACAACCAGATTATCAACACATAAATTAGCAAACAAACACAACCTGGACATTCACTCATCCAACTTCACCAGGTGCATTCTGGGAAGGTATTGAAGGAATATGCACTTCATATGAGAAAACTTCCATATACATTAGGAACAATTAATATGTATGTTTTTATACGTATGCATAAGTGTTTATTTAAAATAAAATAAAACATTTATGAAAGTGAATATTTCAGAATATTTTGCAACAACGTGCAGCTAATGAAATGCATATTCTTATAAAATACTGTAGCAATACTATAGTACAGTAATGGTATTAATATATATATATATTAATGCTGTCAAATCGATAAATTAATTTATATAAAATACTAATATATATATATATATATAATTATACACACACAAACATATATGTAGGCATATACAGATATACAAAATATATATATATATATGTGTGTGTGTGTGTGTGTGCGTGTGTGTGTGTGTGTGTGTGTATCCACATACTATTTAATGTATAAATAAACATAATAATATATATACACACATATTAAACACAAAGTATATTTATATATTAATGAATGCTGCCATGGTACATGTCAATGTCTAGTTTTTGCAGTCTCGTTTAATTGTCATATATTACAGTAGATGTTTGGCTGTATAACATTTGGGTTGGTCACAATGAAGCTTTATTCATCACAATAAGAGAAAAAACACACGGTGCACGCAGAGGCCTTACAGTAACATCCCTCAGACTCCACAGGTGATGTGACAGTAGCATGTTAAAACACACATGCTTGAATAAACTAAAATGATTTAAAGACCCTGCATGCATCAAAATACACCCGTAATAATAACACGAATGTCACACAGAGAGCAGGTGCACGATGATTCTGATCATACAAACACGATTCTCACCATCTGCCTCCGCCATGTCGCTGTCCGTGAACTAAGATCAGAGATGCAGTGGTGTTTTGAGGTGTTTATCCATCATAACATCAGATTAATCTGATGCAGCAGGACAGGACGGCGACATACAGTGATGACGTCACGGCGTCTATACGGCGCTCACTGCGCGTGCGTGTACGTCAGCGCGGCGCAACGACTGCGCAGAGACACAAAACAAAACAGATTATCATGTTATTAAACTGTATTCAAAACTAAGGACGCTTTCTGATGTGTTGCACAGTAGAAATCAAGTATAAAATATCAGTATCAAATCTAGCCGTCACAAACGACTGTAATTGGTCCATTATGATCCGCGCTTAGAAAAGTAACAGGTACCACGTGACCACAACTGCATACTAGCGGTTAGTGTCCTACATTATCTATCTTTAACTTAGCTACAGTTATTGTTACTACAGTAATCATGTATTTACTTGGTATTAGCCATACTGTCCTTATAGAGAAAAAAAGCCAGGAAACGGGTGTGTGTATGATGTGCATATGCGTATTTGAAGCGCTTTTTTATTTTCAAAATGACATTTTGGAAAGTAAAGAAAGAACAGTTCATTTTGCAAATCATTTTATTTGGAAAATACCGTATACATAAGAAGAAACCAAAACCTTTTACATTTTATAAACAACTTTTGGATCAAACTAAAAACAATAAAAGCACTAAAACACCAAAAGTCATAGCCTTTATTTCTCCTGCTTCTTTATTTCAGAATCTTCAGATTCTTTTATGACATTAATATTTTTCAAATAGCCTATGTGTTTTCGTTTATAATATATAGGTAGGCCTATATTTAAGTTGAGGGAATATTCCTGACAAATTTAATACTTATTTTAAAGTAAATGCACAGTTTTATTGTCATTTAACTCATAAATTTTCATATTTTCATCCTCCTAAATGTCTGTTTTTATATATTTGTTGTTGTTGTTATACTGTTTTTATTAGTTTGAACCATATACATTTCTACATACATTTTTATTTATTTGTTTATTTGTTTGTTCTATCATTATTATTATTATTGAAAATTAGGCCTAAATGTTGTTTAGGTGGAGCTTTTCCTTACAGGTTTTCCTTCTCTATCCTGCGCTGCATATGAACTGTTTATTTTAAAATAAACTAATAAGACCAAGAACATGAATTGGGAAAGTAAACGTAATCAATTCTCTAAATGTCTCTCACTGGCAAAGTGTGTGCACTGAATTAAACATGAGGTATATCATCTTTCATAAAAGTGCACTTTCTTGGAAAGTTTGCATATTTCATTTTCATGATTAGTAAACTGTTTCTCATTAGAATCACATTCACATGTGCAGATCTGGTTAATAACATGATTCATAAATAGCTTGCAACAGTATATGATTTATAATCAAAATGAAGGGTAACACTTTACAACAAAGTTCCGTTTGTTAACATCAATTAACTACATTTAACATGAACTGACAATGAAACAATATTCTAAATCATTTATTAAAAATCAAAAGTTGTATGTGTCAATATTATTGAATGGCCCTGAGCTGACATTACCTAATGAACAATTGTGTACAAAACTTGGTAAATTAGACATTAGACACTCACATTGCTTTGTGAACACAAAAATCATGGAGATGATTTGAAAAGATTAAATTATCCTGAAAAAAAGTAGTCAAACTTGTATTGTTCATGGTAAAAAAAAAAAATTGATAAAAATTGACTGGTATTTTTGTGCATTTTTCATAACAATAGATGTAACTTTTTTCAAGTTCAGTTTTTAAAACTTTTTTCACTTCAGCAATAATTTAAAATTTAAAAACAGATCAAACTTAAATCTGTGCTCCAAAGCATTCAAGATTTACCACAGTTTAAGTTTTATTTTTCAGGCATGCTCAAAAAGTGAATAAATGGATTATAACTGGCTACTACATAAATATAATTTAGTACCATAAAATACAAAATAAAAAACATTATATTAACCAAATTAATGATGTACTAATCTAATCCAATCCACTCAAATCATTAGAGGTCACTGATTTATTATCGGTGCAAAACATCATTTGACGCACTGAATGTCTGTGTTTTCAGATGATCTGCACATGTGAATGATGTTGTTGTGCTGAGAGAGAGAGAGAGAGAGAGAGAGAGAGAGAGAGAGAGAGAGAGAGAGAGAGAGAGAGAGAGAGAGAGAGAGAGAGAGCAGCGCGCTTCTGCCCACCTGACGCGAGAGATGACGCGCGGCGACTCCTCAGCAAACACTCATGCCACTCCTCAGTCACTGACTAGAGGAAGAGGAGGAGGAGGAGGAGAGGTGGTCATGGACCCTGGAGTGTGTGCTCTGGAGCTGCTGGGTGTGTGTTTCTCGCTGGCCGCCTGCTTGTGTTCGCTTCTCACCACCGCCATGCCCCGCTGGCTCACGCTCTCCACGGAGCTCCTGCCCACGGAGAGCTTCGAGCTGGGCTTGTGGGGAACATGTGTGGTGCATGATCTCGGGGTCACCGAGTGCAGGCCGTACGACAGTTTACTGGGTCTCCCTCCTGATATTCGCCTAGCCAGAATCCTGATGTGCGCAACGGTGGTTGCAGGTTTAATCGGCCTGTCCTTCTCCATCCCGGGCATCTACCTGGTGAACAGCTGCAGACGCACTGAGAACTTCGAGACCAAGCGGACCCTGAAAATGCTCGGTGGGATCTTTGGCTTCGTTGCAGGAGTGCTCGGGCTCGTGCCCGTGTCTTACGTGGCGCACCTGACGGTCCTGCGCTTCTTCGACGAGAGCGTGCCGAACGTGGTTCCTCGCTGGGAGTTTGGAGACGCGCTCTTCTTCGGATGGACCGCTGGGTGTTTGCATGTGGTGGCCGGTTTCTTGTTGGTCACCTCTTGCTTGTATCTGCGAGAGGAAACATGCGCATTACACCAGTCTATACCGCTAAACAGAGCGCGCATTACGCGTCCACAACGATCTCCATCACGCCGGAGGACAGAATACGTGTGAGATATGTAACCTCTGGCCCGTTATGGCACAGTTTTGCTTTAACTAATGTTTTGCTGCACTGATAATTATTCAATGGTCTCTATTGATATGTAAGTTGATTGTAAATAAATGCTGCTACTTTCCGTTTTTATTTTTTTATCAGATTGGTAACCCTTTACAATAAGGTCCCATTATTCAATAACATCAAGCAATACATTTTTGCATTAATCTTTGTTAATGCTATGAAAAACACAACTATTCATTGTTAGTTCATGCCAGCTCAGGTGTCAGGTCTATTAAATATAATATTAACTTTTGATTTTAATAATGTATTAGTAAATATTGAAATTAACCATTCATGTTAAATGTAGTTAATTAATGTTAACAAACGGAACTTTATTGTAAAGTGTTACCCTTAATTTTGAAATCATCAGTACTGTTGCAAGCTATTTATGAATCATGTTATTAGCTCGTTTGACACCCAGATCTGCACATGTGAATGTGATTCTAATGAGAAACTGTTTACTAATCATGAAAATGAAATATGCAAACTTTCCAAGAAAGTGCACTTTTATGACTATAAGGTCATTTATATATATCAAGACAATTTTATGCTAATTATCCAAATATTGCCAGAAAAACCAGCCGCAAGCTTGTCAGTTTGTCTGTTTTTATATTTTAAAGCACTGAAAGAGAGAGAGAGAGCGAGTGAATGAGAGATTATATCTTGTGTTATATCTCTGACGTGTCAAAGTACCAAAGTGTGATGATCAATAAATCAGCGGGATGTTTTTGTCACGTGATGTGTGGAGAGGTTTGCATTTTTTATTCAACTTTGTGAAATTGCCTTTAATTTGTCAGTTTAAAGCAAATATGACAATATTGCTTGTGAGGATCATAAATTAAGAAAGAATATTTTAAAATGCTTAATAAACTAAATTCACATGCAGAGATAGCCTATACAAAGGTCTGAGACTAGTAAAAAACCCCGCATTAAAACATTTTTCATGTAAATGTTATATATGTATTCCATTTATATATAATTTCCAAGTTTAAAATAGATTTTCCAAGTTTCTCTCAGACTTTTGAATTCCCCTGCATATATTATCAACATATAAAAAAATGTTGTAAAAATATCACATATAATGAGAGATTTATAGACACACAGATCTAGATTTGATTATGTGATGATGAAATGTGCAGTATGATTTCATCTGCTTCAACTAGTGTATCTTGGAAGGGACATTACTTTTAATCTTGTTCTGCATAACTTGAAAGAAACAATGTTAATACATTGTATGGTAAAAGTGGCGAGTGTGTTCAACATGACCCTCCGTTTTCTTCACTGAGACAAAATTGCATTACACAAAACAACATCATTATATAAAAGATATCCATTTGAGTGTGTGATCTGTGACGTGTGTGTGTCCTGATGGGTTCAGGCCCAGTTCTGCGGGAGGAATGTGTCTTTGATCACGTACTTCTAAATCTCTTCAGCCTCGTGTCTGAAATGTTGTAATGCTGTGTTTGCGTGGATCGGATCTTCTCAGAGGTTCTGCTGTCAGATGAAAGTTCTCATTGTTGTCTTTCCACAATGGACTCATTATAATGTTGCATGCTAATCTTGCCATCTTTTACATACAAAGGTTTCTTCACTATCAGGAGCACATGGTGCCGACGGCTTCATGCCCACTTCCTTTATGATAATGAGCCGTATGGATGAAACACATCCTCCAAGTCATGATCTCTCGAGTGAGATTAAAGAATCACCATTGCTATACACTTAAAAAACAAAACACTTGGGCTTAAATTAATTTGAATTGCATGCACATGTTGTATGAACATGGTTAAAATATCTAAAACAGAGTACTTTAAAGAACACTTGGGCTTAAATTAATTTGAATTGCATGCACATGTTGTATGAACATGGTTAAAATATCTAAAACAGAGTACTTTAAAGAGTCAACAACTACATAATTTGTGGTGATTTGTTTTACCCCCCTTTTTTAAAAATGTTTTTATTTATTTTTTATTACAAAACATAAAATTTAAATTCCTATTTGATTTTTTTTGTGTGTGTGTGTGTGTGCATATAATTATGTTTGTCTTTTTTATTTTCATAATCTGAATTAATGCATGTTACATCACGAGTGTATATGTATCTATATTACTTACACTATATTACATGTTATTGTTACTCTCTGTCAGACCCAAGATGAAGCTAATTAAAAATAAAATAAAAATAAATTTAAAAAAATCTAAAACAAGCAATACTTTAGTTAAAATTGAAACAAATTAGATTTATTTATGATAAATACAAACCTGGGTTTGTGTATTTAAAACACTTAACACTATTACGACTGACAAACATCACATTAATGCAGTATTAGATAGTATGATATATAATATCAATCTTTAAATGCAAGATATTTAAAGTGTATTCTTGCATTAGTTCCACTTTAGCACAATCAAATATACTTCAGTTTATCTTTACTTGGACCTCAGAATATATTTCTGGAGAACTAAAGTACAAAATTAGTTGTTTCAATTTAGCACTTTAAGTCTTCAAATTTAGTATACCATAAGGACAATTGCAGGGTGTTTATATTAATACGTACATAAATATGTTCACAATAAGATCTATAACATGCATTTAGAAAATAGGGTGAATTTTCATGTCATGCTAACTTTAATGATGCTAATTTAACGGCATGCTGAATACTGTGGCTTGTTGTGTGATGAGGTGTACCGTCCATGCATTGGACGTCGCCATTGCATTCCTTCTTTGAGCTCCAGGAATCTAAATGACTGTATTATTTGAGTTGTGAACAGAAATCTGGGTTGACTGTGCTTGTTTTTGGTTCTGACGTGCGTAAGAGAGGCCTTTTGTTCTCCTGCCATCGGTCTTGGCACAATGTGGACCTCAGAAAGAACTGCTTTGGCACAGACTGCACTTCCAGTCTAACAATTAGTGTAGTGATGGTCTGGAGAGCGCTTCACGTGCCCTGCCACTGCCATCCTCCGCAGGAGTTCACGTGAGAGAGGTCGAGAGGTCAAGAGGTCGAGCTGTAAGATCCACACCTACCAGCCGTGGAGCGACGCCAGCGCCTCGATGACGCGCGTCCAGGACCGGCACCAGAACTCAAGTTTAAGCAGGAGATCTTCCAGTCGTAACAACAGTAATAAAGGTAGCATTTTACAAAAAGGTCTCATCAATGAATTAATAACATGGATTAAAGGTGCATTGCGCAACATTTCATGTTAAAAATACCCGTTTTTCTAACCCATACATGCTTAAACAATTGCCTGATGGGCTGAATGAGCCCTTCTCTGATCACTGCGATTGCCTCTATAATCCTGTACAGTGAAATAAATAATTTCGGGACGGAGTTTGAGACTGGGCGTGACGTCATGCGCGTTCACGCTCCCCTGGCTATGTCTGGCAGGTTTGTGTATTCGCCGCCATTCTCCGTATCAGCGAAGACAACTCGAGCGACAAAACTTTAGTCAACTTTCGACAAAAGTAGAATGGATTCAAAGACCGGCTTGCAGTTCATTCCAAACCCCAACGCAAACTCCAGGTAAGACAAAGAAAAGAAAACTTTTGTCTAGTGCCACCAAAAGGGCCAAATTGGAGTCAGACAGGCGTCGGAATAAGACGAGAGTCAACATCGGGAAGGCTTTCAACAAATGGAGAGATGTCCGGGCTGCTCTAGGGCTCAAACGGGATCCTCAGTTGGCTTTTTTCTTGATAAAACGGTTCATGAACGTGTTTCCATAATAATACAATCATAAGTGGATACAGTAAACACATAAAACAGTTCAACATGGAGATAGATGGAAACAAAAGCCGAAGTTTTCTACTACCCCCGTTTTCCCCTCACACATAAGTGCGTAATTTACTCAAATGCCTTTCCTTTCATGTATTTAAAATGACTTGCAGATTTATAATTTTATTACCTCTGAAGACATTATGACTGTAAACAAAAGATTTGTGCGGCTGATGCTCCTTTGGTCATGAACAGCACGTGCTCGTGCGTGTGTGTGTGTGTGTGGTCCATGAGCGTGCACACCTCTGGTTGCAGTTTCGCTTGTCGCCAAAGGGGGCATAGTTCTGCAAAAACTCAGAGACTTGCGCAATGCACCTTTAACAATAAGCTATATATAGGCTACTTATTAACGTAAGTCAATAAAAATGTTCATGTTAGTTCACAGTGCACTAACTAATGTTAACAGATACGTATATCTTTGATACTAAAAACGTATGAGATAAACATTCAGATTAATAAATTCTGTGGAAGTATTGTTAGTTCATGTTAACTAATTTATTTAACTAATGAAACCTTATTGTAAAGTATTCCAATAGCATTAATAAAAATAATAAATTTTATTTGTACCTTTCTTACACTCAAAGTAATGCAACGGTGAACTATAAAATAAAATAAACATGCAACAACAATTAATGATAATGAAATAAAAGAGGTTAATATAAAACTTTCTAAACGAGCTAATTAAGGTTTTTAGTTGCCAATCTGCACATCATCCGTCTCAAACAAGCAAAAGTAATGTTCGTGCTTCCAATATCAAACTATGAGGGGAGCGTATGCTTTTTGAGCCAACATTATCCACAATCCTTTGCACAACGAAAGGCATTTGTTAGTTTTTCTTTAGATATAAATGATGAATTTTTTTTTTGAGGTAGTGAAACAACATGTTAATGGTTGAGAGATGCATTACAACACAAACAGTGAATTTTATCACCAGTGAAGTACATACTTGTAATATTTACCCACAAAAATAAATAAATTTATATATATATATATATATATATATATATATATATATATATATATATATATATATATAGAGAGAGAGAGAGAGAGAGAGAGAGAGAGAGAGAGAGAGAGAGAGAGAGAGAGAGAGAGAGAGAGAGAGAGAGAGAGAGAATAAAACCTGTTCTCTCAGTGTGGACGAGCTTATGTCTACATGAAGCTTCTTACCCAACAATCACTGTTAAAAAAAAATCCCTTCGATCACAATGTTCCTGCAGGATCAAGCTAAGAAAGATAAAAGAAATAATCCCCTTAATTCCTTCATTGTCTTGATCATCAGGATTACAGCCTGTCTCATAAATCCCTGTCCATGCTTTTATCTTCTTTTTACAGTAATGAACCATTTCTTATAGTCGAACAGGAGTTTAATGCAGTTGTGCTCATGACTTTGGGATTATAATCAGATAATGACTTCTTGAGAAAATCAAAAGGATCAGAAATACAATTGTAAATGTACAACCTTT